TGTGTGAGATGGGGTGTGAGACATGGCGTGTGAGACTTTGGGGGAATTCAAGGAGGGAGGGAGGGTGTGTGAGAGACTGTCAGAAGGAGGTGGGCCTGTGAGACAATCTGTGAGGGCTGCCACGTGTGACTGAGAGAAAGGGGGAGGTGGGGAGGCCCCCGGGAGAGGCTGTGAGGGAGGAAACGTGCTCATAGGAGGAACGGTGTGAGGGAGAAGGGACCGTACAGCCGAGCCACAGCGTGGGCCCTGGCGGGAGGGGCCTGGGGGGCCTGGGTGCCGCTGGGTGAGGGGTAGGAGATGGTGGGAGAATCAGCATGTCTGGGTGAAAGATTATGGCCATGGGACCCATGAATGGGGGAAAGCAAGTGTCTGTCTGTTTATCCAGTTACGATCCGACTCGGCTGCGAGTAACATAAAACCCCACAGCAGCCGAAGCGAGAGAGAAGTTCGTTTCCCCCTTTCAGTCTTATCTAAGGCTGGAAGCCGGCAGTTGGGCTGATATGACCGCATCACAGTCGTCAGCGCTCCGGTGGGCTCCGTCTGTGGGGTTGCCACCCGTCCCCAACACTGAGGTTTCCCTGGAGCTTCTCCTCAGGAAGGCAGCAGCAGAGGCCTGGCACGGACTGTCTGCTCTTGGAAGTGCAGAGAGCTGCCCCCTGCTTTTCCCAGAACAGCCTTCTCTCTGTGAGATACAGTGGATCTCTGGCAGCGTGGCAGGGAGTGGACGCAAAGAAGAATAGAATATTTAGGAAGGGGCTCGGGGCAGGGGGAGCTCGGAAGAGCAGAAGGATCACTGGATTGAGTCAGGAGATCTGGGCTCCTGGGCCTGGCTCTGCAGCTGTGTGACCTTGAAGGTCACGTCCCCTGCTGGAACCTCACTGGAGCATGAACTAAATGATCCCCTAAATCTTCTAGAAGCCCAGATTACAGCTGTAGGACGACCAGCCTGCAGAAGCCCAGTTACAAGGAAGCCCAAGAAGAAAGAGCCGTCTTCTTTTTGGAGGCAAGGGGGTTGATGGAGGCCCCAGAGCACTGGTCCATTCTCTCAGCTCTGTGCCAGACTCTGAGGATACTGCATAAATAAGTGGAGCCCTGTCTGGGGCTGGGGCACAACACGAAGGGCCTGGGGCACTTGTTGCCCAGGCAGAAGACGCCGCATGAGGACGGGGCCCTCTGCCGAGGCGTTTAGGTCAGATGCACACTGGCCCAGCACAGCTCAAGTTTCTGATTCAGCTCTAAGCCAGAGATCCATTCATGTCCTACCCTGGCTCGAAACCCAGCGATGACGCCCAGTGATCTGCTAGATGAAGCTCAGACTTCTTTGGCTGGGCTCTCGGACACTGTGCCCTGCCCTCCTGCCGGCCAGCCTCCTCCTTCCACACTCAGCCCTCCCCTCCCCGGTACCCCCCTCACTTTCCTCAGCACCCTGGCCTGCTCTTGTTTGCCCACTCAGTGCTTCATTTATTCATTTCCATATAGGTACTGAGCGCCTGCTGTATTCAGGGGGCGGGGATACACTGCAAATAAGATACTCTCCCAGCCTCAAGGAGTTGAGTCTGGAAGGAAAGAGATCATTGCGGACACAGTGGGATTCGTGCTCTGGAGGCTAGGGGTTGGGCCTGGCCAACTCTGCTGGAGGGTTGGTGAGGGCAGGGGTGATGGATGCATTTGAACTGAGTCCTGAAGGATGATCGGCAGAAGGGGACAGCTCATCCCTGGCAGAGGCATCAGCTCATGGCCTCGCTCATTCTGGGAACCGCCACCTCTTTGGTTCAATGCTCAGAGCTGTCAGCAAAGATCTGGATGCCAGCCTCTGTGGGGTACACTTTATGGTGAGGACAAAAGGAGCCTTGGAGGGGCACTGGGCCAGATTGTGTGACAGTAGCATGGAGGGAGGGATGGGGTGGGGGCATTAAGAGGCCTTGGTACCTTCCCATCTTCTGTACATGCCTCTCTCTTTGCTAGAAAGCCACCCATCCTTTGACTGTCCAGAACCACTGAAATGCCCTTCGCTCTAGGAAGCCTTCCCTCCCTCCACCCCTCCCAGGCCCATCCCTAAGGGGACAAAAACGCCCCCTCCTCCATCCTTTGCCCTATAGCATTTTGCATAAACCTCACCCTAGGCCTTATCATAGTGCGCCGACATCAGTTGTAGGTCAGCCTCTCCTATGAGCCCCTTAAAGACAGGAGCCTTGGCCTTGGTCATGCCCACTCCCCTGCCCCGCCCTGGCGCCTGTGAAGGCTCTGCCCTATGTAATCAGTGCTCTCCCACAGATTTGCCGATTACCTGCAAGCTCCAGCAGCCACCTGACTTCTCTGGGCCTCAGGTACATCTCTGGGAGAAAAATTTTTTGTCCTGCCTCTGCAGGTCTGGAGTAGATCACAGCTGGAGCAAGGCCAGGGATTGCAGCAATAATAGAGAAACTTAAGGAATCCAGCCCACTCTGTTCTGAGACCTTTCACTCATTTTTCCTCACAGTAATCCCTTGAGGTGTAGGTATTGTTAGTTGTACTCATTTTACACATGTGGAAACTAAGATACAAAGAGGTTAAGTAAATCCCTCAGGGTTACAGGGCTCATATCAGCAAAGCCAGGATTTGGACGCGGCCAGCACTGGCTCCAGAGCCTTTGCTCTTAACTACCGTGCTCTTTGGAAACCTTAAAACCACCCCCAAAGGACTTCAGCAAATGCTCTCTCCATGGCCATACGCTCTGTGTGGCCCAGTTTCAGCCCTAGTACTGGCCACTCCACTTCTTCCTGGTGGCCTGGCTCCTGGTGCGCTGGAGTTTCTTGGGAGCTCGTGGGAGAAGAAGCCTTATAGAAACTGCCCATCTTGGGAACCCTAGCCTGAGTCCTGGGCCTGGGGAGCCTGCCATGGGCTCTTCCCCAGCTGTGTGGTCTTGCCTTGGGGGTTAGGGCACCTCTGGGTGGACCATCCCAGGGGACTCTCGGGCGAGCAGGGAACCTGGGAGCCAGGCATCCATCTGGCCTGGGCTTAGCGTTTGGCCAGATGTTCCTTGGAGCAGGGAGACCTCTCCCCCTGCCCTGCCCTCTGTGCTGGAGGGAAAGGGGGCCCTGAACCTTAGTAGTTAGTCTGAGGTGTGGGGAGTAGAAGGTAGGAGGGACACTGGTCATGATGACGGAGCCAGAGATCCAGATGCTTGGGCTGCTTGTCTCCCTCCCGGGGCTCAGCACATGGAGTATGGTTTCCCGGAGACATAGGATTAAGAAGGCTGGAGAATTCAGGGTTTAAAGAGGCTCTGGGCAGGGCAGGCAGAGGGCTTAGAAGGGTGATCCTGCCTCATCTTACCCTGATGTTTGCGTCAGATGCTGTTGTCGGTTAGTCACACAGAGCCTTGAATAGGAGCCGCCACGTTCCCAGGGCAGGTCTGCAGAGGACATACAGACCACCACCGACGGGCACAGCTACAAGAGGGCACTGCCTTCTCATCCTGGCTCTGCCACTCGCCAGCTGTGTGGCCTAGGGCAGACCACGCTTTCTCTCTGGGCCTGAGCTTTAGTTTCTTTAACTGGGCATCAAAGAAATTGAACTCATTGATCTAGGACACAGCTGTGCATTGTGGTGGTGAGAGCTTGGGTTTTGGAGTCAGACTGCCTGGGTTAAAATTCTGACTACATTTCCTCTTGGTCCCATGACCTTGAGCAAGTTATCCATTCCAAACTTGGTAATAATCGTAGTTCCTATCTCCTCTTGTTATAAAGATTTTAAACCGGACGATACATCCTTTTTGACTCATGGTAAAAATGACTTGTCCCTTCCAGTTATAAACTTCAATAAAGCTTTGTCCTACACAAATAAATAGGAGATATAGAGGAAATCTATCTCAACAAAAAGATTCTCATCCCCTCGCTTCACCCCCAGTCAAGTTCCCATTTTGGTAGCGTGTTGTCGTTGTTGTCAATGTTGTTTAATACGGAAGCAGGGAAAATACTCTAACAGATTTTGTTCGCCCCCTGGTCTGGTCTAAAAGTTCAAATTCTTTCTCCTGCTAATGGTAGACGGGTGATATCCAAGCAATGAGGCCACTTGGGGCATCCCTCAGACCACAGGCTGTGAAGATGCTTTGAATATACCAGATGGGTTCTTTTAAAGGGTCATTGCTGAAATTACCCCGGAGGTGGAACTTGGATCCTGCCTGGGGGTCCTGCCAGGGACATCCGCCTGACTCAGCCCCGGGAGGGAAAGTCTGGTATCAAGTCTCACCTGGCAGGAACTGAGCCCAGAACAGAAAATACACAAGTGTACCAGCCTCTAGTCTCTCCTCAAACGACCTGAGGGGGTGGAAGATTGGATGGCCCAGGCTGGCGGGACAAGCAGATCCCAGCCTCGTGGCCCGAGAGTGGATTTCCTGTGGAGAGGAAGCTGAGGTTATCCGAGCTCTGATTCACCTTGCCTGCAAGTCTGGGACCATGAGGAACCTTATGGAACCTTTCTCACCAGCTGGGTCTCAGTTTCCCTTGCTGCAATCTTGGCGGAAAATCTCCTGGACACTCCCACCCCTCAATGTTCCAGAGATCATTTACAGTGAAAGGAAGTAGGGAAATGTCCTTGTAGAGTCAGAGGACTTCCAAAGGGCATGGGGGTTTGTGTGAGGACAGCACTGACTAGTTTCAGATCACCTGGGACACTTGCTGGTCACCTGCAGTGATGACAGTGGCCCCGGTTAGCACTGCTGAGCACGTACTCCAGGCGGACATTCTGCTGTGCTTTCCCTCCACACTAACTCATTTAGTCGTCACCATAAGCCTCCAGGTAAAAGTGGCATCATCCCCTTGGGCTTCCCTGGTGGCGCAGTGGTTGAGAGTCCGCCTGCCGATGCAGGGGACACAGGTTCGTGCCCCGGTCTGGGAAGATCCTACATGCTGCGGAGCGACTAGGCCCGTGAGCCATGGCCACTTAAGGCTGCGGGCCCGGAGCCTGTGCTCTGCAACGGGAGAGGCCAAAAAAGTGAGAGCCCCACGTACCGAAAAAAAAAAAAAAGTGGCATCATCCCCATTTCACAAACGAGGCTTAGATGGGAGATAGACTTGTATGCCGGCTAATACAGTGTAGACTTGGAGTGGAACCCTGGGCCCCTCACTGCCTCTACTGGAATCCAAGGGGGACCCTCAGACCCTGTTCTCAGAGCATTTCACTCTGGCACATGGACAGTAAGTGCTCAGTGAATGGGGGCTCTCAGTGGGCGAGGCCAGGGCACGAACACTGAAGGATGCATAGCTACACAGGGCTATATACCCTCCGTGCTGGTGCAGGGCCATTGGGGTTCCTGGAGGAGAACCATCGTTGTGGTTTGGGTCCCTCCCAGGCAGGGGGGCTCTTGACGTATTCAGACCACTTCTGACTGGGACCTGCTGACTTCTCACCGCGAGCTGTTAGCCAAGGCACAGAGATGGGTGAGAGCAAGGGACACCTCAGGTGCCCAGGGTTCCAGCAGCCAGACTGGGAAGGGGACCCGATCCCACCGCCCTTCTCCCTTCTCCTTCTGCCATCCCCCTTCCCCCAGCCTCTCTGATTCATGCAGTGAATCAGTGACAGGAAAGAGCCCTTGGCCTGCTGGTAATGCCATTAGTAACCCCCTAAGGGAAAGGGGAAGTGGAGAGGGAAGGGGAAAGGTGAGCCAGCCCAGCTCCCTCAGGCCAGAAGGCCGCAACAGGGCTGCTGTGTCTTGCCCTTAACCCCACCCTGACCCCACTACCTCCATCTGAGATGCAGGTGTCTAGGAGCCTGGCTGACCAGAAGCACCGGGGGCATTCTCCCCAGACCTACTGAATGGGAAAGTCAGCGAGAGAAACTCTAGAATCTGTACTTGTAAAAATGCAGCCCTCCCCCATGATGCTGTAGTCAGGTGGTTGTAGGGGCCCTGACTCACCCTGATCAGGGTGATATGGGGGTATCACCAAGGGGAAGCATCAGCTATGAATGAACCAGGAGCCGAAAGGGGTGCTGTTTCCTTTAAGGTGACGTTCTGTACTTGTAAACAATTTTGTTTTGGAAAGCTTTCCAGCAGTTCCCTGTGTGAATTTTCCAGGAGGCTTTGGAACATCTGGGGTATGTTCTTTCTTTTAAGTCACAGGTTTAAACGGGAAAGAGAAAATTTTCCATGCCGGCAAGAGGGAGGCATCTATTGCAGGGCAGCGTCCAGGCCTGTGTCTTCTGCAGGGTCTGAGCTGAGCACTGGGTGGGCTGGTGAGGAGGCCCCGCCCCCTCTGGCCGGTTCCCATTCTTCTGCTCTTCTCCATCAGGATGTGAAGATCTTCCGGGCCCTGATCCTAGGGGAGCTGGAGAAGGGGCAGAGCCAGTTCCAGGCCCTCTGCTTCGCCACCCGGCTGCACCACAATGAGATCATTCCTAGCGAGGCCATGGCCAAGCTCCGACAGGTGAATGCCCACCCCGGACCTGCCCCAGAGCCCTCACCCCTGCAGCTGACCCTGGCCTGGACCCTACCCCAGCCTCAGTCTCCCACCTGATCGCTGGCACCCCACTCTTACCCTGTAGTCCTGAACCCCTTAAATATGCCAAACCTGACCCCATAACCCCAGATCCCTAATCTGCCCTGAACTCCCATCTCCCAGCTTCTGCCAGTCCCCTAATCTCAGCTCCTCCCCGTTTATGATGGAGGCAGGTCGGATCTGCCTCCAGGCCGAGGGCCACCACTCGTCGTCCCGGTGACGCTGGACAAGTCACCTCGCCTTCAAAACCCCTGTTTTCTTACTGAGAGATGGGTTATGGTGAGAATTAAGTGGGAGAGTGCATGTTAAGTGTTCAGTGCGGCCTTTGAAACCCTCAGCCTGTTGCCCTTCTCCCGGTCCCTTCCTGGACCCCGGGCCTCTCCCCGGCCTCATTTAGGTTCCTTGAACTACCCAGCAGGAGCTGTCCGAGGCCCCTCCCTTTTACCTGCTTTTCCCGGAGTGACTCAGTTGCCTGGATGTTGGAGAATACAGGGCCCCAGAGGTCACTGACCCTGGGACAGTTCGCCTCGCCTGCCCACTTCCAACGCCACCCCACAGCAATGGGTCAGAATTCTCCCTCAGGCCCCAGAGGTCAGCCCGGGCGGCCACTGGCTGAAAAGGCTCGACTGCGCCCTGGGTATCAGTTTCTCCGCTAGTTGGAGGGGGGCTGGGTGCCCCTTGACTGCCACCCTGCCAGTGGCCCCAAGGATCCGAAGACAGCCGGCGTGGGCTTGTCTGACTCTCAGCGACCAGGGAAAGGGTGGGCAGGGGGCCTTCTGAGGCCGGGTGGGAATGGCTCTTCTCCTCCATGCAGAAAAATCCACGGGCAGTGCGGCAGGCTGAGGAGGTGCGGGGCCTGGAGCAGATGCACATGGACGTCACCGTGAACTTCAGCCAGGGGGGCCTGCTGAGCCCCCATCTCCGCAACGTGTGTGCCGAGGCCGCGGATGCCATCTACACCCGCCAGGAGGACGTCCGGTTCTGGCTGGAGCAAGGTCAGCTGGGTGCTGCCCGCTGCCGTATCGTCTCAGATATGATGGGAAGCAATGACAAGATATGGGAGGTCTAAACCCAGCTGGGACTGGTCAGGGAAGGCTTCCTGGAGGAAGTGATGCCTGTGTGGCTCTTTACTGAGAGGAGTCAGCAGATGAAAGGAACCAATTCCAGGTAGGGACGTGGAGAACTGTGACTCTGCTAGGCCCCGGGGAGGGAATGCCCAGGCACAGCCCCCCTCAGCCCTGCCCTTAGTGAGAACACAGATGGAACCTTTTGTCGTGGGACGTGGGCACAGGAACCAGCGTCTGGATGGGGCCCAAAGATGCCCATTCCCAGCTGCCACCTCTTCTGCCACCTCTCAGAGATCAGCTCCTCTCTTTCCCTTCACACCTTCCCAGGATCCTTGAGAACGCTTCCCATCTTTGCATGGTCCCTGCCTATGGGACCTCACTGCTGGCCCATCTCTGGGTCACCTTTCCCAGGACTGTCCTGAAGTCAGACAGACCTGGGATTCAGTCCTGACTCCCCTACCTACTGTGTGACCTCAGCCAGATGGTTAAACCTCTCTGGGCCGGTTTTCCCACCTGTAAAACAGGGATGATAACACTTAGCCCATAGGAGTGCCGGGATGCCTGAAGGGGCCATGCCAGGGGGCCCCCTCCCCTCCCCCATCCCTGACCTCCACCTTCTCCCCCAGGTGTGGACAGCTTCGTGTTCGAGGCCCTGCCCAAGGCCTCAGAGCAGATGTTGCTGCCTCGCTGTGGGCAGATGGGGGACCGCGGGAAGCCCTGCGTCTGCCGCTACGGCCTGAGCCTGGCCTGGTACCCCTGCATGCTCAAGTATTGCCACGGCCGTGACCGCCCGACGCCCTACAAGTGTGGCATCCGCAGCTGCCAGAAGAGCTACAGCTTCGACTTCTACGTGCCTCAGAGGCAGCTGTGCCTCTGGGATGAGGACCCCTAGCCGGCTCGGGATGAGGGCTGGTCCCGGAGACAGCTGCTGGGGGCCCACTGCTCCTCCCCCAGCCGCCAGAGGGCGTGGCCACCCCCAACCGAGGCCTTATTGCTGTTCCTTCCCTCCTAATCCCGGAGCCTCTGGCCCCCGACTTGTCACTGTGAAAAGGGGTGTGACACGGCAGGGGTTAACTCATGAAGGCAGCCCCCCACTCCCATGGGGACGGAGGGAGAAGGGGGTTCTCCAAGCTTGACCCCCGCATCTCCCCTGAAATGTTCGCTTTCAAGCAACCAAAATAGGACAGCGTGACTCTATTTAACTCTTTGCAGGTTTAGACCCTGGAAGGTGTCGATGCCTGTGACACCCACCTCCCCACGCCCAGCCCCCTGCCCCACCCTCCAGAAGGAGCTGGCCCCTGTGCACCTTCCCACTGCCCAACAGGGAGGGGATCCTTGCGCCAGAGAGGGGGCAGCGCCGACAGCGGATCTCAACATGTTCTTCTCACTACTGGCCTCTGAGGCTGCCCCGGGGCCATCTGGGGGCCCCCCACCCTGAGACAGACCACAGGTGCCTTTCCGCAGACCTGGACTTTGCCGAGGGAGCTGGAGCCGGCTTGCACCCTCGAAGCAGAAATATTTTTGTAAGGTTTTGGGACAGGGAGGGAGCATGAAGTATGAGGAAAACTTGAATCCCAGATTTTTAATGCAAAGTATTTATCGTTTGTACCAGAAATAAAAGTTTAAATTTTTACTTGGCTGATAGCTCTAGACTCGGAGTTCTGAGAGAACTTTTGGCGAATGCTGCCACCTGGCGTCAGGAGAAGTGTCCCTGTGCTCTTGGTGACCCATCTTGGGACAACAACTCCTAAAGCACCTACTGTGTGCTCAGCCTTGTGTTGGGGGGAGAGGATGTAGATGGGGGTGGGTATTATTAGGAAAAGATATGACAAAATTTCTGTGCTTAAGAAGATGAGACATACATACATGGGCAAGCCAGGCAGTAAAAGACCCCATGACATAGACTGAGATGTGAGATATGGTGAAAACTCTGGAACCAGACTTCCAGGGGTCAAATCCTGGGCATGATTTTTTTTTTAATTTATTTTATTGAAGTATAGTTGATTTACAATGTTGTGTTAGTTTCTGATGTATAGCAAAGTGATTCAGTTATACATATATATAATAGTTTGCATTTGTTAGTCCCAAACTCCCAGTCCATCCTTCCCCCACCCCCTTCCTCCCCTCCCCCTTGGCAACCACAAGTCTGTTCTCTATGTGAGGCTGTTTCTGTTTTGTAGATAAGTTCATTTGTGTCATATTTTAGATTCCACATGTAAGTGATATCATATGGTATTTGTCTTTCTCTTTCTGACTTACTTCACTTACTATGATAATCTCTAGGTCCGTCCATGTTGCTGCAAATGGCATTGTTTCATTCGTTTTTATGGCTGAGTAATATTCCATTGTGTATATGTCCCACATCTTCTTTATCCATTCCTCTGTCGATGGACATTTAGGTTGTTTCCATGCCTTGGCTATTGTAAATAGTGCTGCTATGAGCATAAGGGTGCATGTAAATATCTTTTTGAATTGGAGTTTTGTCCAGATATATGCCCAGGAGTGGGGTTGCTGGATCATATGGCAACTCTAGTTTTTGGAGGAACCTCCATACTGTTCTCCATAGTGGCTGCACCAATTTACATTCCCACCAACAGTGCAAGAGGGTTCCCTTTTCTCCACACCCTCTCCTGCATTTGTTATCTGTAGACTTTTTAATGATGGCCATTCTGACCAGAGCAAGGTGATACCTCATTGTAGTTTTGATCTGCATTTCTCTGTTAGCGAGGTTGAGCATCTTTTCATGGCCCTGTTGCTGGCCATGATTCTTATTTGCTGTGCAATCTTGAGTTACTTTACCTCTCTGTGCCTCAGCTCTCTCAGCTATAAAATGGGCTTAATTGTGAGACTGAAGTGAATTTATACGTGTCAAGTGCCCAGCACATAGTCAGTGCTCACTGTGTTAGGTGCTATTAATATTGTTACCGTTAGTGAAAAGAGCAGACGTTTCCTCATTTATAAACCCGACACAATGGAGCCAGACATCCTGAAGGCCTCTTCACTTCAAGAGTATCTTCTAGTATAAAGAGGCTGTAATATGAAGTGCCGGGCTGGGCACTGAGGACTTCCAAGGAGGAGGGATGTGCAGGCTGAGTTGATTGGGGAAGGTTTCCTGGACGAGATGGGACGTGGGTTGAGGCTGCAGGCTGGTCGGGATTTGGCAAGGTGGAGGGGACTGTGTGAGCACAGGGCAGAGACTGGAGTCTTTCAGGTGTTGGGCAAGTCCCAGGGGTCCCAACTCCTTAGGAGGGAGGAGGCTGGGAGTCAGAGCCTTCCTCATAGGCCTTGGAGAAGAAAAGGGGCTAGCAGGGCTGTCCCCCTTACTCTGCTCCCCAGCACCCCCAGAACAGGCTGCTGTTGCCCATTGAACTGTGCTGGCCAGAGGGGTGTGTTGGGAGCTGGGCTTGCTTGATGGTCAAGTTGGTGGTAGGGGAGTGGGGAGACATCCTTTTCAAGTGGGCGTGCCTCTCTCTGAACCTGTTTTCAAGAACCAGCTTCAGCCGTGCTGGGGGGCAATTTGGGGAGGCCTTCCTCCCCAAGCGTTTTTCTCCTTCACCTCCTGCCCAGCCCCTGCTCCGGGTGAGGGAGGGGATTACTTGGAGAAGGCATCTCCCACCCCTCTTAACTCTGTGGGTGTGTCTTCATTGCTGGGGGTGGTGGTCCCCAAACCATATGCCTTCCCTACTCACTTCCAAATAGCCAAGAATAATACTTTTTAAAAAAGTAATGTTTTCAAGACTTGGAGTGTTTTTCTGATCTTCCTTGGGGAGGGGGGGATGAGCACCTCCAAGCCTGCCTGTGTCCTGCAGGGAGGGGCCTGCTGGACACTGTCATTACAGACCACCCTGCCTGGGGCCCCTTCTCTGTCTCAGGGCATGGAGATGAGAATTAAGATTCCCTGTGACTTTGGCCTGACCCTATGCTCAGACGAAGTCCACGCCTCCCATCATTCCAAGGAACCCTCCCAACCTCCCCAGCCAAGCTCTGGCTCTGCCACGGTGCCTCCAATTGGAAGTGTCGTATTTGTGCGCATCAGACTCAGAGCTTGTTACCTAGATGTAGATGGTCAGCTATTCGAGAGATAAGGCTTTACTTTCCTCAAAAGTCCTTTGTGGATGTGAGAAAACACCTGCGAGAGGTCATATACCTACAATAGTTCTCATTTCTGCAGGGTTGACAAAGTGCCTTCATATAAATGAGCTCACTTGGCTTCTTTCAGCGATTCTGTGACATTTTATGAATGCGTCTCGCCTGTGAAACGATGTGACTTTGCCCAAGGTCAGAGAGCAGTGAGGACTCCAAACCCAGCCTTCTTACGCCACGCACACCTACAGCCCAAATGGGTTATCGGATGGGCCCGCCGGAACCTCAGCACGGCGCACCGGGGGAGGGTGAGCAGGGCCAGCCCTGCAGTAGCCATCACTGAGGACTGGGTGGGTGGGTGGGGGGGAAAAAAAATCCCAAAGCTCCCCTGGGACTGATGTTGGCAGGAACAGGCTTCTGATTGGTTCCCTTGGCCAAGGTCAGCAAGGCCTTCGGGTGGGAGCCCAGGAGACCAGATCTCAGCAGTGTCTGTTCAAGCCAGAGGAGCTAAAAGTGGTACCAGGCCTCCCCGGCAGGATCGCCCGAGCGCGGCCGGGCCTGTACTTCCTGTGGGTTTTCTTCAGGCTCCTCTCCCTGCGGTCTTGTTAACCACCGGATGTCTTAGGTGGGGAAACTGTGGAGCCCTACAGCTGGAGCATCTCTGCCCAGGGCCTTCGTGGGACCTGGATAGGGTGCGTGGAGCTGTCAAGGAATCTGGCAAAAAGTGGGGCAGGGGCCGCTCCCCAGGAGCAAAACTTGAGGCTAAAAATTCACGTGAGGAATGTGGGTACCGGCCTAGTCCCACCTCTGGGTGACCTTGGGTGGGTCACCTCCCCTTCCAAGCCCCCAATTCCATCATCCCCTAAGAGAGAGGGCTTGTCTAGACTGTCTTCCCCGACACTGGCATTCACCGTGTAACTGCTCCCTGGTATCCTACTGCAGGTTATTAGCCATTTGGCTACTGATGGGCAATGGACTGGCTCCTACGGCCGGTATTTGGTTGATACTGTCGAATCACCTCCAAATGGTGCTGTCCAAATTTACATTCTCACTAGCAGTGTGTGAGAGGCCCTGTTTCCACACTTTCCTGCTGTATCAGTCAGGGTTCTCCAGAGAAACAGAACAGAATACACACACACACACACACACACACACACACACATATATATATATATATACACATACATACCTATATATACACAACTGTATACATATATATACAGTTGACCCTTGAACAAGGCAAGGATTAGGGGAGCAAGAATCAAACATCTGAGTGTGATTTATAGCTGGTCCTCCATATCTGTGGTTCCTTAGCATCCACACTTCTGCATCCACAGATTCAACTGTGGATCGTGTAGTACGATAGAATTTACTATTGAAAAAAATCCCCCGATAAGTGAACCCAGGTAGTTCAAACCCGTGTTGTTCAAGGGTCAACCACACACACACACGCACACGCACACGCACACGCGCGCGCGCACAGACGCGCGCGCGCGCACACACACACACTGATTTTAGCTCACGTGACTGGGGATCTGGGCAGCTAAGGGCTGGCAGCTGGCAGGTTAGGCAGAAGTTGATGTGGCAGCCTTAAGTCTGAAATCTGCAGCGCAGGTCAGCAGCTGGGAACTGAGATTCAATTTCTATGTGAAGTCTTGAGGCAGAATTCCTTCTCCAGGAAAGCTGTTTTTGCTCTTAAGGCCTTCAGCTGACTGGATGAGCCCCACTCACATTAGCAAGGGTCATCTCCTTTACTTAAAGGCAACTGACTGTAGATGTTAATCATTTCTACAAAATACCTTCACAGCAACACCTAGTCTAGTGTTAGACCAAAAACTAGCATCATAGCCTAGCCAAGCTGACAGAGAAAATTAACTACCACACCTGCCATCACTTTATACCATCACCAAGCGTTGGTCATTTTGACTGTGAGAAGCATCAACGCGTTCTAGGGTTTATCCTCCGATATGAACAAGTGACCATAGAGAGGTGACTGGCCATGCTGTTTCCCCGTTTGCCCCTCGCCCCCTGCGTTCTCCACCTCCCTCTGCCCTGCTCTGTGCCCCAGGACTCCAACCTCTGGATTGGTCTCCCCTGGGCTCTCTCACCTCTGGCTCAGCCAGGAAAAGCACCAGACGTCAGAGGGCAGGATGAGAGGGACTCTGGGGCTTGGATTCCCCGCCCCTTACTTCCTCAGCACCACGGGTCTGGCCCTGGCTTCCTTCCTCCAAGGCTCCAGACCTCCTTGCACTCCTGGACAACTACTCATTCCTCTTCAGCCCTAGCTTCTCAATGTCCCGTAACCCTGCCGGCACCTCTGTAAATAAGCAATACTTCATTAAAGGCCCTCTGAGTTCAGCTGATTGTTTTCCTGTAGAGATCCTGATGACGACAGCCATCCCAGATGGGGACCCAGAAGGATGGACGGTGGATAGGAAGAGGGCCAAAGTGAGGTGGACGGAGGCCCACGTGCTTCTGCCTGGGAGAAGGTCCAGACCTCAGGGGGCTTCCGGTCAGACAAGGGAGAGAGAAGGCGGGTCACAAGCTACC